AAGAAGTAATTGCACCCCTGCTGCTCCATTATGGTGTCATTCCTCTGTTAACAGGCGATAACATCTTCTCCAAAGCACCTGAAGCCAAATCTCCACTTTACCTGCGTGGCCCGGACACACACACACACACACACACACACACACACACACACACACACACACACACACACACACACACACACACACACACACACCGATGAAAGAAAGCCAGACCAGTGGACTCAAAGTGGACCGGAACCCGTTCGACTGTTCTTGTGAGTCCAACAAGCCTGATGGATGGATGAGGGGGCAGGACAGCACTTTCTCTGCTGATTGGCAGGTGTGATGGATGACACACACACACACACACACACACACACACACACACACACACACACACACACACACACACACACACACACACACACACACAGATGCGTCGTAAGTTTAGAGCTCAATTGGTGCCATTTGACCCGACGAAACCTGAACAGAACTCTTGCCGAGTGCAAGGTCATCTTAAAAATGAAAATGTATTTCATCATGGCAGCTCAGCCAAATTTGACAGATGTTATGATCCAATCTTAAAATCTTGTGTACTTTAAAAAAAAAAATTTGAGAAGCGTTCATGTCGCAAAATGTGTCAAATTGTCTCCAGTGTATTCGCTGTCCCTAATGGAGTGTCTCCGAGTCTCGCTCCCGAGTGAGTGGTCCCCCCACCCCCTCCTCCGCTCTCCCTCCTTTGACCAGTAAACCCTCACCCCTCCCCAATCCCTCCCCAATCCCTGCCACCTGCCCTGCAGCTGGAGGTGTCCATTTCACAGGGCGGGGTCGCATTTTACACATCCAAAAAGTGGCCCTCGCTAATCCTATCACATAAAAGTGTCTTCATTTAATCCCGAAAGCATCCAAAGAGGAAGAGATTAGAGGCCATCTCTGATTTTATTCTAATGATGTTTGCAGGGGGCTTCACTTTCAATGCTGCTTTTTCGGGGTGGACGGCGGGGGGTTGGGTGCTCTCCACTCTTGAGTGCCCACATGAGAAGATGAGTTGCGAGATAAAAACGGCTCCCGCGGCGGCTGTTTGACACTCGTGGGTGCTAAAGTGGTCGGAGCAATGAAAGAGGTGAGACTTTTTCCGACGTGCGCTCGGTTTTATTTGCAGATCGGGACCGTCAGACAGCGTGAAAATGGCGCGCCCAAATGATCACAATATCATTTGAACAGTGGAGCACAAAGAACAATTAGCTCGTGGCGCCGGCCGAGGGAGCTAATCCCAGATTGCAACTTCAACTTTGTTTCTTCTTTCCGTAGCCAACCTTCAAAGACGGACGGTGCAACGAGCAAATGTTTCGAGTCAAATGAATGAATACGAACGTGCGAAAAGGCTAAAAAAAAATTGCGGTACTTACTTCAAGTTTGGTGCGGCGGCCGCTTTAGAGCGCCTTGTTGTATGCCGCTAGTGTGCACACGTCAAGCGGAGAAAGACAGAAGAGCCGCAGGGGGGTTATTTGAAAAAGCCAGACATGAGCGCCAGCATTCAATCGGTATGCCCACTTTAGAGTGCCTCGTTGTAGGCCGTGAGTGCGAACATCACAGAGGGAATAGCGTAAAAGGAGCATCGATTTTTGTTGTTGTTGTTTTTATAAGTCCAATTTGATAGCCGGCGTGTGGACCGGGGCGTTCAGCGCTCCTCGTTGTCGTGACACAGAAGAGCCGGCAGGCTGAAAATTTTATTTTGAAAAGTTTGATTTGACAGCCAGTGTATGGACAATCTTGGGGTTGGTGTGGCCGCTTCAGAGCGCCTCGTTGTTGGCCGTGAGTACACACAAGTTACAGAGAAAAGGCAGAAGAGAAGGGGACAAAAGTCCAACACTATTAACCATCTTTGACCCACTTTGTCTTAACATTATTGCACTTAGTTTGGCTTCATTCTGCTTCGTCCAACATCGTCCTAGCTTCCAACTGCCATATCAGCTTTGTCCTGCATTTATCCTACCTTAAAAAAAAAGTGGCATGTGAACAGATGACTAATTGCCACATCGGCAGATCAAACAGGGGCCCGCTTCCCGTTTCCTCTCGGCCGAGTGCACATTCTCCGAAACATAATCCATATTCACCCAAAAAAAAAAAAGCAAATTGCAAGGTCCCTCCGCAGCTGCCTTGAAGTGCGAGAGGCTCTTTGAAGGCAGTTAGCCGGCGTTACGAGAGCAACGCAAAGATGGACGTGTCCAAACAGGGTCCAGGTGACCCAGGTGAGTGATGGGACACAGGACACTTGAGCTCCCCGATGCCATGTCAGCACCAGCAGCTGGGATGAGAAAAATCTTTGCCTTGACTTTTTGGGCCGTCTCCTTTGTTCGTTTGTTTGTTTGGTTGGGTTTTTTTGGTCATATTTTCATACCTATTTCAAATAGTAACTGACGACAAGGGCTTGCGTAAAATTCTTATCTGCCTGGTTGCTATCTTGCTATTCGTTAGCACAATGATCGGCTAGCTAAATGAATAATATCAACATTTTGTCCATCCGCGTACATTCTCATTACAAATTCACATTCACTATTTACAGTTCATACCCGCATGCAATTGGTCGTGAGAATAAGTTAATCGCCGTCCCCTCGGTTAGGGAGGGTCCTAGTACATCATGATCTCCTTGGGGGCGTCCTCGGTGGGCCGCTGCTGTTCACGCCGCTGCGTGTACGCGGCGTGGTCGTACATGTAGATGAGGCCGATGGCGAGCAGCGAGAGCGCCGCGTACGGGATGAGCAGGTAGTAGCCCAGCAGCATCTTGTAGGACACGATCTTCAGGTCCACCGGGACGTTCTCGGAGAAGGTCCTCACCAAGTCCTCCGCCACCGTGGTCACGCTGAAGTTGACCACGAAGACGACCAGCGCCAAGACGGACAAGCACGCTGGAGGCATGAAAAAAAAAAACAAACTCTTCAGCCAAGCAAAATTCATTTTCAGGGTGCTGAGTTGTTTAGCTGCGCGGCGTGGCTCACCGCTGATGGCGCTACTGGCGTAGATGCCGATGGGCCCCATGTACGTCTCGTAGGGGTTGCTGACGCTGTTGTACAGCGAGATGAGGATGCTGACGGCCGAGCACAGCAGACACAACGCCAGCAGGCACAACGTCACGGCGTGCAGGACCAGCGGGACGCCCTTGGTCTCCGTCAACTTGGGGAACACTGCCAGCGCCACACCAAAACATTTCTTAGCATGTCAGCCAATGTTGCGATTTTATATGTAAACTCTTAGCGTGTTAGCATTCGATCCATCCTAATTTGAAATAGAACTCCATGGTGGACAACCGAAAACTTGTGGAACTTTGCCTTCGTTTTTTTGCTCGTCCGCTCCTCCATTTTGCAATTTGTTAGCACACCAACTGTTAGGCATGTTTCTCAGATCTCAGATCCTGCTTGATCAGCTTTTGTTGCTTTCTCTCCTCATCTTATATGTTAGCATACCAAATGACTTATTCTCTTTACAAACATATCAACCTTCAAAGTCAACAGGCGGTCCAAAAAGGGGACAAAGCTCCTGTTCCAATCTGCCGTCGAAAAGCCCCAGCGTGACTGCGGCCGAGCCGTTGAAGAAGCCGCTCCCATCTCGGGCGCACTTCATGCTCTTGGTGGCCCACGCCGTGGACATGGCAAAGCCCAAGATCCCCACCGATATGCAGGTGACCAGCGCACTGGACAGGAAGTGCAGGGTCTTGGTCCTGGATGGCATAGCGACTGCGCTTGGGTCTGAAAATGAAGAATCGTGCGTGTGCGAACGCGTTATCTTCCAGGGTGGAGTGAAATGCCGGCCATAAAACAGCCCTGGTTATGACTATGACCTTTGATTATTCCCTGAAATGAGAATGTGGTTGCCTAGGCTACAACAACGTCGTCCTATTCGGATCCACGCAGGGCCGTCTGTGTCTCCAGAGAGATAACAAGTGAATTTCTTGTATCTCTCTGCGACACTTTTCAAAAAGGCCCGTGAAGTGAGCCGATGATTCGTTGTCCGAAACCCTTCTTAAAGGGTCGGGGGATCCCCGCCTCAGAGTTGAAGTCCTCTTTCAGGGTCATAAAGCACAGTCGAGGTGAATGGTTTACTTTGGTGTGCACGCCCTGCCTGGAAGAGCAAGCCCTCAAGGTGTTTGGGAATGAGTGAATGTATGTATTTCACCAGTGAAATGAATACAAATGCCATTGGATCCGTTCCAACCTTCCAATCAAGTGCCTGGAATATTGTTCAATTTTGATTGACACTTCCACAACAACATACTCTATTCTTTTTCTATTCACATTTACATACAGTGTATAATAAAACACACACAAGAGGTCGGTGTGGAAAAAAAGTTCTTTATTTTTTAAAATGTATTTATTTTTTCTTTTGACAGGATTTATACAATAAAACATCAGATAATCCAAAAAAAAAAGTCCTTGAAAAGATTGCGTTTTCGTCATGGTCACGTGTTAAAGCCACCAGGAAGTCCATGCCGATACGCCGGTTGTTGCAGTACATCAAATGGCCAGCAAGCGACGCGGTTTCCCGCGCTTTGGAAAAGGCGGAGGATGGCGGCCGCTTGTGTTCGGTGGAGTAAACACGGGCTGACTTGCTGGCTGGTTGACTCCTCCTTTGACGCTGAGAGTCGGCCACGCCGAATGCTCCCATGGTCGCCTCGCCTTCTTTTTTTTTTCGCGTCCCTCCGAGAAACTCTACGCTCCGGGCACACATGTTGAAGCCTCCCAGGTGAGTTGAATTCAATTTGCTCGCTTAACTCGTCGTCGTCGTCGTCAAGTCGCCTTCGCGTACTGGGGAGCTTTTTTTTCCCTGCCTTCCACCTGTCTGTGACGCTCTCGGGGCGCTTTCGTGAAATGTGGATTTTACATCCCACATAAGCCATACTTTGAATTTTCATAAATCCATCGTAGTTTTTGTCCCCCCCAATTCGAAGCCCCTGACCCGCTTCGTCATTGTTTAGTACTCTAAAAGCACCGAAAATACGGACGTGTGTTTAAAGTTGTCGTTAATGTTACTCGTGGCCCGATTAATTTGATTCGTGCCCCCCTCCCCCCGAGACGCCAGTGGCGAGCTGTCAGCATCCTTGCCTGAGAAGTCCCCCCCCCCCAAAGAGTCACTGGAAAGTATTATTTTTAATACATGATTTCAAATGGAGCATTACCTGACTGCCACGGAAGCCATTTTAATAATAACCAGGTTTTGCCTCAGAAATTATGACGCGTTGCCAAAATGGATTGGCGCATGCAAATACTTTCAAAATGCAGCATCAAGATACACTTAGTTGTCGTTTCAAGAATTAAAAGAACACATATTGCAGGGCAAAAAAGTATTTTTAAGACTAACTTGGTACTCCAAGAAGGAACAAAATGTTTCAATCAATACTGCAACAGGTATTGAAGGGACAGTGTGTAAAAAAAATAAATAAAAAATGTTGACAAATGTTGGTGTCATTTAAAGAGGACAATATTGTAACAAGTTGATGGAGGTTTAAATAGAAATCTAACAAATTACTCACTTACTGCCTATTTTGCCATTCTAGCTCATTTTTTACACAGTTCATGCTTTAAGCCAATCGACCTCATCCACTCGTCACTTTCTTCAGCCCCGTGATTAGAATAAAAGATTTTTGGGACTTACCCGCATACCCTCAAGCAAAAACTTGGCTGGCGACTTAAAAAAATGGACAAATTGAGGCACTCTTAAATCAAGGTGCCACTGCACAAGAACACACCTTTCCCCTTATCCATCTTTTTAATCAGCACAGTCTCTTTGTACAAGTTGCGTTTCTAGAAGCCCCACATGAAAGCCCGGGTCACGTGAGCAGCTCAACGTGCAGGCAGGAAGCGGATTGTATCATCATGCGTCGTCATCCCCGGAGAGAGGAAACGCCTCGCTCGTAATCACGCCTTCCTTTTTGCATGACCGCATGTGACGAGTGTGCGTAAAGACCATGAGAAGCGGCAGATTTTTTGGACGCAGAGCACTCTGGGAGTTCGCAATACATACGTTTGAATGGGGTTTGTTAACATTTAGCATTATGTTCCAACGCCAGAGTGCCACTGGATGTCACCTTTGGTGATGGCATCAATTTCACACAAGCTGCTGACGTGATTGTTAGCTGCCGTCCGCTGCGGCGGATCAATTACCCGCTTTTAAAGTCTCCTCAACAAGATCAACTTCGTTTTGCTTGAAGTGCCTTTTGCTGTTAAAGGGGGTGTGTTCTTGCTAGTGGGAAACATAAAACAAGACAGTCGTCAGGTCCACTTTATTTATATAGCCCTTCATCAGAGTAGTTAAACGGACCAGAATGTGAATTTTAAAACCTGTCAAGTACGTCTCATCAACAACAACCTTAATGACAGATTTGATGTGTCAATTTTGCAGGATTCCTGTGGGAAACGTAAACAGGATTAAAACTTGGATTTGGAACCCGCTCAGGTAAAATCAGTCTTGATTGTGCAACCTGGCAACGGTGGGGTTACGATGGCGTGCGCGGGAATCTGGCTGGCCGGCCATCCATCAGCGTGGCCCGTTGCACCGGCAACACGTGTGCTTGTTTTGAACGGCCGCCATTTTTTCACCAGAGAGCAATTAAAGCCTCGGGTAACAAACCGACCCCACAGCGATAAAAAAGATCTTCATTCCCCATTTGAAATCGTCTGGACTGAAATGCACTGTGGCGCCTGTGAGCAAAAAAACAAACCCCCCCCCGAATCAATTCAAATCAAAGCGACAGATCGGCCGGTTATTTGACTGGAATCCAAAATGATACAATCGAAAGGAATCTGTTAGTTAATGCAACGGTTCACAAACGTCTTTGTCCATCAATCTACCACTGCCGTTCCAGATTTGAGTTGGTGATCTGTCCAATCCCATCTAATTTGGCGACAGGGATCTTGGGTGGCTCAGTCGCCGCCCCCTCCCCTCTTCAATTTGGTAATCACTGTTGACCTTGTTTGAAATGAGTCGTCCTTTTGTTGTCCGCCAGGAACAAAAAGCGCCATTGTCTCCCGGCTGCCGTGCGAATAATCTGCAGCTGTGCAGCCCGGCCTCGAGATCGCCTTTAATCCAGATTGGGTATTAATGACTGTCTAATCCGCGCAGCACCCCCCCCCCCCCCCCCCCCACGCGAGGACGCTCAACATGGCGCCTCCGTTGTTCCCGTCAGTGATGGTAAAAGAAAACTGTTTTCCTCCCCGTATTTGAGTTTGCCGATTTTAAATTCAATCCAAATCGACGACAGGTGCAGCTCAAAACCATCAGACATGAACAAAAATAATGCCGTGAAGACTATCATAGCGCTCGATTTTAATTGCGCTGTCTTCAGATGCTCTGCCTTTACGAAGCATCTTTGGATCTGGAGTGCAGTGGAACAACAGAAATCAACATTTAATTTTCAATTGCTCTCGGCTTGCTGGAGTTTACACAATTTTCAACTTCCTCAAGTGCAAAAGGAACCTTTTCTGCCCGCGAGAGTCCCCGGAAATGAATTTGCCCGAGCGCGGTGATACCATACCAGTTTAAAAATTATTAATAGGAGAAAAGAAATCATCACCGCAAAAACTGAAGCTGCGCACGCGCAAAAACTACAACTCAAGAAGCTCGGCAATGAGCATGTCTGTCTAGGTCGCATCGTCTCGTATTGTTTGCCGGCATTGAGTGGGGAAAATCAATGATATTCAGTCATCCGCCAATTTGCCGCTGCCTGGGGCAGAACGCTCGGAGTCGTGAAAACGATGAGCCGATTGCTAATGTGCGCGATTCTCCCGTGACCCTCTTCTTTCCCGGTGACACGTCGAGGGTGGCGGTGCTGTCCGATCCCTCGATTGCAGTCTTGAGCTACTCGATCTGCGGCAGTGATGCCTTTGTGGAGGGAGGCCCAAACAGTTTGGGTGATTTTTATGCCCCGCTGCCTAACTTGTGTCTACATTCCTCAAGGCAGGCGTGTTATCAGTGTGTGCCTGGAGTCAATAAAACCTTACAGGCAAGTTGTAACATGTTTGCGATTGAAGCAAAAACCGGAAAATCAAACTCTGACCGCGCCATTGCTTGCCCCTTTTAAGCTGCCTCTCTGCAAAGTGCGGAAAATGCCCGGTACAATTTCAGAGGTGTGCGCGGACATCAATTTAGCGGAGACTGACAAGTGGAGACACGGCCGCCGTAAATGTTCTAGGTCATATTTCCCAAATATGGCATTTTAGCGAACCATTTCCTCCCGCTAATCTGGCTTAGCGTGCTGCCGAGCCGGGCCACGTGTAACGTTGGTGTTTTTTTTTTTTTTTTTTGCGCATGACAGGAAGACACTGGCGGGGAGACGTCCTGATTCCCAACTGTTTCCTGTTGGACGTAGCCTTGCGCCTACGAGCCAGCATTCAAATCCTCCGTTCTGTTTCACCACCATTGATAGAAACCCAAACAACAGCGGAGCGACTTTGTATCCTCGTTCCGTCTCTGCTGCTTTTCAAACTGAACCAAATGACCTCAGTGGCAGTGAAACAGAAACTAATGACACGGAAGACTGCAGATAAATGAAGTTCGCCTTCAAGTGTGACTACAAAACATCCATGCAGTATGATACATTAGATGGAGTGCCCCGGGGCAATCAGATATCTTTCGACTCGGTTATTCGACAGATGGGTTATTTCAGCAAAATCAACGTTCAAAAAAATCTTACAACAATGCCAATACAAAATATCCATGAAGTGCAGTTGTTTTTTTTTTTTTAATCTCACCATCCTCGCATTCAACACTCTCGTCTACGTGACTTTGAATCTTCTCTTTGTTGCAGTCTGGCCAATTTTACCCATCCAGTCTTCGGTTGCACATGCATGCAAAGGGGATGCGATCCAAAGTGTTTCTCTTCCTGCTTGTGAGTCAGCTCGCTACAATGACAAAGTCACCAGGGGAGGAATTCCCCTTCTTAGAAGCAGCCGACGGGGTACGAGAGCTTAGACTTCACTCTGTCCCCCGCGCAGAGTGTCTGACCCCATCTGGCAGAGGACGACACATACAAAAGAAGAAAAAAAAACGCCTCCGATGATGTGTTATTCCCACCGTATTTCCCACAGGTCCTTGTGAACTACAGCGGCCATCTAGCACGTCCATGCATGGCAGGTAGATAAACACCCACACATCCACGAGTGAGTGGAGAATATTTCCGACATGAATGCTGTCTGAGACAGCTTGAACCCCCGCCCCAACATGACCTCGACTAGCATTCGCTGGACGCAGTTCAAGTTTCGTAGGCGGTTCAGATCGTTGGAAAATTTGCATCCGCGGCCGAGCAGGTACTAGAAATGGTCCCATGTCCTTCCTGCTTTTGCCAATGGAAAAGCTCTCGTAGCCCGTAGGTAGGGTGGCGTGTCATTTGTGCAGTTGTGGCTAGCGAGAGCGATGATGTAATAGACAGCTGTGGTCTCTCTAGGCAATAACATCCAACAATGAGAGCCAAATCCTCAACGCTGTCCAGTCGCTCTCAAGGTCACTTCCTGTCGTTTTTTTTTTTTGCTTACTTCCTTTCCCTTCACTGCATCCTGTTTACCACAACACGAAGCGCTTTTAGACTACCTGTTCAAGATTAAATTCAGAGCCTTGTGTTAAAACTGTTTTGAAGAGTAAATGTTAGCGTGCACCCGTTGCCGCAGTCTCCACTTTGCTGCAGCGCTGCTTTTATTTGACTCGCATCCCTCGATCCCATTTGAATTAGGCCTCATGCATATGCATATTTTGTATTGGTATTGTTGTTTCATAATTTAGAATCAATTCAATCCTATTCAACGACGAAATTATCAGCGTACTACTTTCTAAAACTAGATTCTAAAAATAGCCGGTATCTGCAGCCGATTTGAATGTTGTAGGCTTGTCACATTCCGAATGACGCATCCACAGCGTCTTTTTTTTTTTTTTTTTGGGCGGTTTCCTGTCATACTAATGACAACATGCTGGAATGTTTTGACTCATGCCTTCCTCAAAATCTATCTCCAATAATGCGTACTGGGCTTCCCATGCCACCACTTGGTGCTCGTCCTCTGATGCGGCGTAGGGAGCCGTTTGTGCCGCTTTCAGAGTCGGGTTCAAAGGGCACTTTGTAAACACAGAGATGTGCCGGACTAATCGTCGCACAGTGACTACACATATCCTCTGGGAGAAGTGGCAGTTTGTGTGTCTCCCAGCTTATCTTTATAAACGGATTTGTTGGGGGCACTCGAATGTCTTCGTTTGATGCGTTAATCTGATTGACCGCAACCCGAGAGTCGAGAAGGTGTCCAAGTGCGTGTTTGTGTGACACCTTGGTGTCACGTCCCTCTACGACGGCGGCGCTCAAAGAGCCAAGAGCTGTTTGACATTTCTCGACCGCACACATGCAAAATCTCCCCCCCAACCCCCATCCCCTGGCAGCACCACCGCCGCAACCTGCAGACCACATGTGTTACCAACGGCAACAAGATGTTGTTGTTCACTGCTGTGACCTGACATCACCAATAAGGAACATGGCCAAAATGTGAAAGCAGAGTCTCGGCAAGTGGATGCTCGAGAGCCTGAAGAGAAATATCTGACCTTGAGTCACTTGTACCATTTGGAGAAGGACCCTTGGAAGGCATGTTGCCCTCGTGTGTGCTTCCGTCACACGCCTTGTGTCTGCTGACCTCTTTCTTCGAGAGAGAAGGCATGCCGCACATTTCGCACATTCATCCATCACCGCAGCCTAGAGAGAGAGGCGAAAACGTCAACCCCCCCACCCCCAGCCCCAGCCCCGCTCTGTAATCCGCCTCTCCTGCGCCAGTCCGTATCCATGGCAACCACTTGCCACGCTCCCCGCTACATTTTTTTTTTTTTTTTTGTTATTGGGTGTTTCGAGCAAATGGAGCAGCGTGGATGAGAAGGAAGCTTACCTTGCTGTGCTTTCAAAAGTTTGCGTTCTCTGGTGATTGTTTTTCAGGTGCATAAATTGTGCCACGCGCACCCCCGCCCACCCCCACCATAGGCTCATTCCGGGTTTTTGCCTGGGAGACTCGGGGATTATGGATCAGATGGCGACCAGTTGTGGACAACAGACAGACTCGCGGGATCAAATTGAATGTGATCGTAATGAGGCAGAGGGAAGCTTGACGTGGAACTGGGCTACAAATCTGGGATGATTTTGTTATTATTTTGGATTTTGCAGTTGGAGCAACAGTGGCCGGGTTTATGCGGGAAAGCAAAAAAAACAAAACAAACTTGTTGAACTCTTTAGTCTCATTTGAATGTCGCTTCCTCGCCGCATTTACGTCGTGTGACCATCTTCGCCATTTTATGAGGCTCCCCTTGGAGCTAAACGACATAATTATGCAGCAACTGTCGCCCACAGTCCACTCCCACAGGCATTCTCTCCTCCTCGCCGCAGTTCTCTTTGAAAACAAACACCAATTGCTGTTGTCATAGAATTCCCTCCTAGAAATATTTGAAACATTTATTTCCCAATTGATATCAATGGCAAAATCAACTTGGAGGCAGTAACAGCTCCTCAGTAACTTGCAGTCATAACAGCTGTTTTTTTTTTGTTTTTTTTTCCAGAGGCTGAAGAATATGTGCCGGAGTCTTATATCACAATGTCTAATTCTCTTTGTTTGATGTTTAGCTTGAGAGGACACTTGGTGCTGGTTGTGAAGTGACTTGAGTTCACGCTTGTATCTGAAATTTTTACTCGCAAGTCAAAGCAAAAAAAAAAGAAAATTCGTCCGGTCAGTAGATTTTGCCACAAAAAATGTCAGTTGGGTATAAACAGTATCAATACTGTATGCCGTCTGTATTTGTGCTCAGCCAACATAAATGTAGAATGTCAAGGGTTCCGTGAAACACAGATGACCCAATGAATCTTTTCTGAAAACCATTCTTTCTTCTTCCCGAAACTTTAGGTGGTGCACGTCCCTTTAGGGCCTGCAGAGTTGCCTCACCCGCTTCCTGGCGCCCAGGTCGGCCGAGGACCATGTGACCACCGGCAGTCTTTCAGCATCATGTGACCCGGCTGTTATGGAAGTCAGATTCGGCTCGCTTTAACAGGCACTGTCTTGGGTAAGGCTGTTTTCCGGTTTTCCTCGCAAAAATACAACATTGAACTGGAATGGTTTTGGGTGACTCTGTGGGGTCGTTGAGAAAACACTGACAACGTGGTTCCGCTCAATTTGCTTGTCGTTTGTTTCAAAAATTGTTGCAAAAAATTGTTAGAAAATACCGGCGAATATAACCGCCAAATAGCTACCTTGGCAACGCTAATTGTGCTTCCGTAAGCTCGCTCTAACTGCAGCCTTGTTACTGGCGGAAGCAGTGAATACGTCGATTGTTTTAATAGTTGATTTCTGCGCTGTACTTTGCATGACAACCGGTAGAATGAAAGAGATGGGACGATTTTTAAACAGTAAAAGTCATCCGCTGGGACTCCCCCGCCCCCCCTTTTTGGGCCTCGTTTTTGTCGGTGACTCGCAAACCTCGCTGTGGCTTTTGATGACTTCTGAAGATGTGCGTCTGTGATAAAATGAGCACCAAGGGAACACCCGGCGACACTTCAGGAAAGAGGACGGATGGCGATTTGTGTGCGTTTGTGCCACGTTCGTATCTTCTATAGATCAGGAATTTTCGGTATGTGTGCGCGCGTGTGTGTATGTGTGGCTGTCTCGCTCCCATTTCCCCTGTAGCACAGCAGTGTGCTTGACAGGAAGACCTGACTTGCTGGTTGGCTGCAAAGGACAGGAAACCGTGTGTGTCGCGCAGCAGATGGAGGACGCCGTGTGCTTACGCTGCACAGTTACACACACTAGTGCACACATGTTGCCACACAACTGGCGTCCATAGAAGCAAGATTGCGTTTTGTACCAGAGGCAGTCCGGAGGCCTTCTTCCTCAAGATTCACTTCCTATGCACGTCTAGCTACTGTTTTCCGGTCAACTACTTTTGGGAGCTCTGAACAGGCTTTTTGGAAAAGGAAACATGTCAAACTTTGTCAGCAAAACGATACTGACACCTCACAGTGTACAACAGGCGAAATAAGACGGAGGAACGAACGTTTGATGTCACAGTAATCATGTGTTTGCAGAGATTTCACAACTAACAATGCGTTATTCGCCATTCGCTCCGTCAACTCCCATCATCTTTTCTCACCGTCGTCACCCACAGAGTTTCCGCTAAGTACTGCAAACACATTCATACCGGCGTACTCTGAAGTGTGAGGTTGTCACCACGACTGCCAACGTCAGCGTCTCTTTGCCTCACGGTCGACGGGACGAGCCGCGATTCACACCCTCATCTTTATCTGCTACTCAAAGCTGTGTTCTCAAGCGCTACTTTTTACCGGCGGTGTGTTTTTAAAACACAATTTGTCTTTTACAATTGCTCGTTCTTCCGCAGAAGAGGAAAAAAATGCGCTGAAAATGCGGCGTTGTCGGCGAGTGCGATAAGGAAGCAGGCAGCGGGGTTTGGTTCATCTGGGAGATGAAGCGCGATACTGTGTCTCTTCGCCATGGCAACAGCAATTGTTTGCCCTCAAGTCACATGACCCTCCCCCAGTTGGCCAGAGGTGCTTTTTTTTTTTTTTTTTTTCTTTCTTTCCAAGAGGAAGGTTTTGTCAAACAAGGTTCCTCAGCATGGGCCCTTCACTTTGACCCCCCTCTGGTCCCCACGTCGCCTCCTCTTCTCCTTCGAGAATCAAGAGGCTTTTTGTTCGGCGGCGGCGGCGCTTATCGCTCTTTTCTCCACCGCTGCCCTCCCTCCCTCCTTCCCCTCACTCTCTGCCTCCGTATCTCGCTGCATGCTTTGACTCAGGCCATGGAGGCATTCTGTTATTACGGAGGATGGATGCTACGACAAGTGGGAGTTTGCCCCAGTTGAAAATGGCTATATATAGACCGCCATCCAGAAGAAACCGCCGGATGCATATTTTCTCGTCAGCTCGTCTGTTTATGAACAAAAACGCAAAAATACGGTCGTCCTTCATCTTATCACGGGTCGCTTTTTTCAGTTCTGCGAGATCACTGATTCGTCAGTCAAACTCCTTTTACGTGGTCGATTTTTCAATCATACAAAATCTATTCTCAGGCCAAATAATTAACGGATGCTGTACTTCCCACCGTGGCCCATCACTTCAGCTTCCGGCGTCCCGCGTGCCTTCACGCACCGTAATAGCTGTTTGCCGCCGCACGTAATCGCAGCGGGCTCGCTCGTAATGACACACGTCACAGCCGCCGCTTTGGCAATTTTCAGCCCGGCCGCCACGCCTCACCTCGGGTGCGACGCGTGGCTCGGAACGATTGCAAATTGGCTCACCAGAAGTGGGAGGAGAGGTTGGATTTGCTTTTTTTATTAGCAACGGGTGAAAATTTCCATTCAAATCGGGAAATAGGACTTTTGTCAAACACATCGGAGGTATTTTAAACCCTAACGCGCTTATGTATACACACGCGCGCGCACGTGGATGATTAAGCACAAGCAGAATTACTGACAGTGCGTTTGTTATTGTTTTCATGACAGTCTGGAAGCAGATTTGGTGCATGTTACGTGCAAGGGTGTGTCAATCTGTGGATGATGGTGGGGGGAAAAAAATGTCAAGCTGTTACATACTCTGCATGCACGCAGGGCAGCTTGTCAACCAGACGCTAATTATCGGAGGTATTTTAAACCCTAACGCGCTTATGTATGCACACGCATCTCATCTGTATTTTATTTGCTTTACTCGCCATGTGCAAGCGTCCACGTTGCGTATCACTCTGCGCATTTTGCTCATGCCTTCCAAGATTTTGAAGGTGGAGCTGACAGGTAGGTGGGGCGCAGTTGATACCGCAGCGCGTCAGCCGGCGGGTCTCCAAGGTCATTAGAGTCGGCAGAGTCGAAGCCCCTGGGAAGGAGGCGGGATTGATTCATGGACAGTGTGCAAAGGAGCGCAGCAGGGCCAGCGACCCACATTGGAGCGATGCAGTGGCCGACAGAATACTGCTTCTTCCGATGCACTAGTGCGATGGTTCTGCTCCTCTGTTATTCACTTAAAAACTCCCATTCGATGTTTTGTGCTCAGTCGAAATTCCTGTTTGATAAGATCATCATATGGTATTGATTTGGTGCCACCTTGCAGTATTTTGGTGCCAAGGAACTATTTTGAAGTGAGTCGCGGAGCTCCATCGGGTGCCTTGTCGGCATCTCGCGTCTGCTTTAGGCAATTCTAAATCTTTTCAAAGGGGCGCTGAATTTCTATTTGTGGCAGACTTCGATCCTTATCATCCATGGATAACGGGGCACACTGGATGCACCTTGACAACATTTTTGGCGATTAGCATCAGGCAATATTTTAGTGCTTGATCATTCCGTTTTGTGTGTGTGTGTGTGTGTTTTGCCGCGGTAACACCGTTTGTAAAGATGCACACCCAATCGAAAAGGAAACTGAAACTGTATGAGGTCACCTCAGGTTGCAGACAGAAGCGTCCTAATGGGTGAACAAGCAGCTGGAGGCTTTTCCGAGCACATCGTGTACCTTGACTGCAAGCTCCTCACATTCCCCGCGACACCCACCGCCCACATTGCGAATTCCCCGGCCGATGTATGCGAGGAGACAGAGACGCTTTGTGCCCGGCGAAAACCACGTTCGGCTGTTCCGACGCCGCTCTTGCGCACAGGAAAACGGTGCGCTTTTGAAGGCGAGAAAGCGTCTCGGTCCAGTGGGGGTTAAAGCTTTTTTTGTGTTTGTCCTGAGTCACTCTGAATCGGAATTCTCACACTGTACCGAACAAAGACGTAGGACAAAAGGCTTTGATTAACATCCATTTTCTATTGTGAAGGCACGGCCGCGCTGCGTGTTAACTGATTGCTTTCGCTTGCTGCGATGTTAATCATACCTATCGTTCCTCGGGATAGCACTATGTCGATGTGTTATTAATCGCTTTGTGTGAGCCGGTTTCCCTCGTGTCAAATTGGCCCCATAATCCTTCCAAATCGGGGAGCAGTGATTGAGTTGATCTCAACTGCAGCCAAGTTTAACTCTGGTTGTTAGCGGAAGGCGTTTCGAGAACATCTTTGCTGCCCGGACATCTGCTTTGGGTGCATATTTCTCAAGTTGAATCATCTAAAGCCTTTTTATTTTTAAGGGGCTCGTTGTATGAGAAGTTTGAAATGATGTCAACTGTTTTGAGATCCTAATTTGCGGTCGGGTATAAGAACACCGAACTTTTTAAATTGCCTGTGAAAGCTAACGCGCATGTTAAGCCCCACAAATGAAATTGCCCAGCTAAATGGGAATGTTAGCTACGCTGACAGCAAAAAGCCGATCTTAGCAATGTCAAATCTTATCACACGTTTGTTGGAATCAATTCTGACTTGTGTGACCTCCGACATGAGACACTGCTGCGCCTCGAAAACACCGCTGCGCCTCGTAATAACCTTCCCCGAAGCTGCTTGCCAACGTCTCCTCTCCCAAAGTAAAGACGCCTCACCAATTGTCGTTGATGGCGGACGGCCGTTGACTCGCCTCCGAGTGCTAAATGGAATGAGGGCAATGCACAAACGCCACGGTAGCCATTTGCCCACCGTCGCCAGGGTAATAACCTTCCCCGAAGCTGCTTGCCAACGTCTCCTCTCCCAAAGTAAAGACGCCTCACCAATTGTCGTTGATGGCGGACGGCCGTTGACTCGCCTCCGAGTGCTAAATGGAATGAGGGCAATGCACAAACGCCACGGTAGCCATTTGCCCACCGTCTGACCCGGGCGAAACAATGACTCATGTTTTGGGGGCGGGACACGTCTCTAATGTGAGACTTGTGCTGTATGGCCGCCTGACGCTGAAAAATGAGACGCTTACTGGAATAGGATGTCGCTTTATAAATAGCAATATTGAGGATATTCCGGAAGGGAAGGAAGACAGACAGTTAGTTGGCTTTGGTCAGGACACGGAGTGAGGTGAGGCAAAAGTGTTAACAGATGAAGATAAGTCGGTCGGCGGGTGGGGCGCAAGGACAGCCAGTTAAATCTCAATTTTGGGACTTTCCAGTCGAGCGTATGACATCATGAACCCTCCTGAATG